CATTTTGCCCAATTTCCTCTGTACTGGCTGGCTGATAGCAGCACTCCAGGGCTTCAGTCTTTCCATCACCTTCATAGCGGTTGTGAATTATCTGAAGGTCAAATATTTCTGTGAGAATCTAAAACTGTTCCTGCATTTTTGGTTTTAGAGATGGCCATTTGTCCAAGCAAGGAGGGTGCATAATCTTGCAACTCTTGAATGGAGGTTATCTAGCTCAGACCTAAGGCTACAATTGCTTGACAACTGGTGAAACATTTATTTTCAGGTATCTTAATCTGAGGTGGTGTAGGGAACTATGAATGAGGTTGAAATGTTTCTACTAACCATTCCACATTGCAAGGTTCTTCTTCTGAGGGTGTGGACATCTGGTGTCCTGAACGCAGTCAGTTTTCTTTGTATGATCAACTCTTTAATTTGATGATGATTTTACAACAGGTAAGTTGTAAATAATTTCCAGTCCAGGATGTATAGTGTTGCTTCATGACTTCTTAACTATCTTTGGAACTTATCAACAATGTTTAATGATAAGTATTCAGAAAAAGTTTGTATTATTAAATCTTTCTCTCTCTCTCTTTCAAAGCAGAGACTTTAGTTGATGAGCTCCCATCACTAGTCCCAGCTTCTGCCAACCTAGCAGTTCGAAAGCCTGCAAATGCAAGTAAATAAATAAGTACCACTTTGGTGGGAGAATAAAAACATTTGGTGCCGTCATGCTGGCCACATGACCACCAGAGCAGTCCTCTGATAATACTGGCTCTTCGACTTAATAATGGAGATGAGCCCCCTACAGTTAGTTACGACTGGGACTACCTTTACCTTTTACTAAGAACTATAGCTGTATTTTGCTTTTTAAAACATTGTAGCCTTCTGTTGATTGCAAGATCGGCAGATTGGCAGTTCTAGGCCCGGGTGCTGCATGTTGGGGTGAGCTCCTGTCACTATTCCCAGCTTCTGCCAACCTAGCAGTTCATAAGCATGCAAATGTGAGTAAATAATAGGTACCACTTTGGTGGGAAGGTAAATAGCGTTCTGTGCAATCATGCTGGCCACAGGGTCACAGAGTAGTCTCTGACAACACTGGCTCTGTGGCTTAGTAACGGAGATGAGCACCACCCCCTATGGTTGGACATGACTTGACAACCTTGTCAATGGGGAATACCTTTACCTTTATGCCTCCTTAAATCCCATTCTGGGAGAAAGGTGAGATAAAATTAAATTAAATTAAATTAAATAATGTCCTGTGGTTAGGTCATTATCAACCTTTGCCTCCACATCTTTGCCAGTGAAGTAGGCCAGGTTTGCTCATCTATAAAATAAGCTATGGTACCCAGACAAGGTGTCCAATGCTGGTAGCAAGTTCTTTAAAGAGCAGTGGGAGAGTAACTCATTGGACCATGGTGTTGCTTGCAGCTTTACTCTAGATCAGGGGTAGGCAACCTACGGCCCGAGGCCTTTGGACCGGCCCCAGGCCAGTCCTGACGCCACCACCACCACTGCCCACCATGATGATATTGATTATTGTTGTTATTACTTGTTCTTGGGGTTTTCTTGGCAAAATCTCCACAGGGGTTTTGCCATGGCTTTTCTGGGGCTGAGAGAGTGTGCATATATATATATATATATATATATATATATATATATATATATATATATATATATATATATTCGCTTCAGCCCCCCAATTGTCTGAGGGACAGCCCCCGGCTCAAAAAGGTTGCCTACCCCTGCTCTAGATTATGTTGCAAAACCCACTCCTCTGTATTCTCAGTAGCACTGCCCATCCCTGCCAGCTGCTTCTTTCCCTCACTCCATGCCTCTGAGCATGGTCAGTCAAGCATGCTAATTTTCCAGCAGAAGTGTTGTCATAATTAGGCAGCTTGTCGGAGGGTTTAGTGGTACTTAACCAGATGTGAAAAGGCTGGTCCCCAGGTCCTGGCTGGCTCACAGGGGCGTCTGCCAGCTGCCTTGTCACTGATGTTCATCCTGCCCATAATGGGCTGCCAAGATCCCTTCCGCATTGCCCTGCATCTCTTTTTATGCTAAACATCCATTTGAAAACCAGCAAGGCCTGTGCAAGCAGAGAGGAAATCCCTCATACAAAGCAGGAGAAAAGTTTTGGGGAGGGGGTGATGATAATGGCTGATACCCATAGCAGGCAAAGACAATTACTTTTACAAAGTAGTCACAATTTGGAAGCAGCTTTCTTTTTGGCAGAAATTGTTCATTGCCAGAAATAACATCTCTGATATGCTGATATTTGAAGCTTCCATTTTGGTTTCTGTTTAGCTGCTAGTCTTTTCCTCAAGGCTGGTTCACAAGGTCACTAAAGTGGCAATGGCTGGTTTCTTTTCGTAAGTACAGAATTTACAGAGATTGAAAAAAGTTACTTTAGATTACAACTTCCAGAATCCTTTAGCCAACAGTGGTCATTGTTTCTGAAATACCTGAAAATGTAAATTACATAATAAAAATCAGTTAACATAAATTATGTTTGCCCTCTATTATTTGATACATTTCAGTTTGTGCAGCCTAAGAGTATGGACATGATCCTTGGAGAGGTGAGAGCTACTGCATATATATTGAATAAGAATATTGGTCTTTCCTGGCTTCTGAAAACAGCTAGAGGGGGATTGGTTGAGTGGATCATGGAAGTGGTCAATGCCTCATTGCATCAAGGGGTGGGGGGTTTCCATCCTGCCTAAAGGAGGCTGTGGTGAGGATGTTGCTTAAATAAAAAAAGGCCTCCTTATATTCCACCATTCTGAATAATTTTCAGCCAGTCTCGACATTCAGTTTTTGGGCAAGGTTCTGGAGCATATAGTGATTTCCCAGCTTCAAGGGTTTCTGAATGAGATGGATTATCTAGATCTGCTTCAGTCTGGTTTCAGGTCTGCTTATGGGATGAAGACAGCTTTGGTCGCCTTGGTGGATGACTTCTCCAGGAAACTGGGCAGGGTGTGTATATGTCTGTTGGTTTTGCTGGACTTCTCAGCACCTTTTGATACCATCAATGATGGTATTCTTCTGAGCTGCGCTGTTATGCACTGGTTTTGGTCTTTTCTGGGAAGGGTGAATTCAGAAGGTAGTGCTGGGACACTCCAGTTCGATGCTCTGGCCATTGTCCTGTGGTATCCCTTAGCATTCTATTTTGCCCTTGATACTGTTTAACTACATCTACATGAATCTGCTGTGAGAGGTTAGCTGGAGTTTTGGGGTTCAGTGTCACCAATATGTTGCTGCTGCATATTGAGATACTACCTCTCTTTCCCACCCTATTCCAACTAAGCTGTCTAAATACTGAACCACGGTCTGTTGTCAGAAATGGACTGAATGAGGGCAAACAAACTAAAACTTAATACAGACAAGACAGAGGTGCTCCTGGTCAGCTGAAAAGCAGATCAGGGAACAGGGACACTGTCTGTGATGGACGGGGTTATGCTCCTCTGAAATCCCAGGCTTACAGCTTGGGTGTTTGCCTCGACTCATTTCAGAGACTTCAGCAATGGCCAGAGGGGCATTTGCACAGTTGATGCTAGTGCTCCAGCTGCACCCATTCTTTGAGATGTCATATTTGGCTATGGTGACATGCCTTGATCACATCCCATTTGGACTACTATGACACACTCTAAGTGGGGCTGCCTTTGGAAACTGTTCAGAAACTTCAGCAGGTCCAAAATGATTCAGCTAGATTGCTGCCTAAGTCCAGATATAGGCAACATATAACTCCCTTATTAAAACATATTCACTGGCTATTGGTTTGTTTCTGGAAACAATTAAAACTGCTGGTCATAACCTATAAAGCCCTAAATAGTTTAGGTCCAAACTATTTGAAAGGTCTTATCTCCCCATATGAATCTGCCAGAGTTTTAAGATCTACAGAGGAAGGCATTGTCTCATTTTTGCCACCATCGCAGGCTCTCTTGGTGAGGACATGAGAGAGAGCCTTTTCTGTGGTTGCTCCTACTGTCTGGAACTCCCTTCTGAGGGACATTAGGCTGGTCCTCTCTGCTTTTTCTTTCACCAGTATGCTTTCAATGCGTAAGCTTCTTATTGGGATGTTTTATTTATCTTTTTTTAACTTGTGTATGTTTTTAAATTATTTTATACTGTTTTATATGGTGATTTCAATTGTTCTTAACTTTTTGTTGTAAAGGTTTTTTAATTGACTCTGGAAGCTGCCTTGGATCCCACCCTGAGAGAAAGGAAGCAAGCCAATGAAATAAGTTATTCCTTGATATACTTTACATATTCTTTGTAGGGACAGTCCAATATAGTTAGAACAAGCAAACAATGGCTTTATCCACACTTCTGAATTCATGCTGATAGTTTGGGTAGCTACTGTGTAGATTATACACTAGTGTTGAGTGCTGAGCTTTCAATATATTTTCCACAAGAATTGAAGTAGAGGTGTGGATAAGATGTGGAAGAAAAAAACACTAGTTGACCACATTACACTAATATCATGGTATATCTACTTGGAGTCTCAAAGCCAGTATTTTCAGATATAGTGAATTATGTTGGTTATTGAGCAGGAAGCATACATTTTATATCACAAAAGGTCCATGCTTATTAAAATAAGAACATTTGCTTTGAAGGAAATTTTCTGAATATCAAAGCCACTGCTGAAACCATAGGAATTGCAAATAAAATCTGGCGAGTCTTTGTTTCTGAAATACCTGTATGTTCAACCTAGAGGGAGCTCTGTTACATAGAAAGGAGATTCTCAGATCTTCCTGCTTATACAGCTGTTACTTTTAGACTATCCAATTATTATTGCTATTATTTAAAAAAATGTGCTGCTTTTTGGACAATTCCTTGCCCTATTTACAGCTAAATAATATACTTTTGTTGTTGTGTGGCTCCAGTCATTTTTTACTTATGGTGACCCTAGGGCAAACCTGTCATAGAGATTTCTTTGGAAGTTTCTTCAGAGATGGTTTGTCATTGCAGTCCTGAGACTGAGAGAGTGTGACCTGGACAAAGCCATCCAGTTGTTTTTATGTTCAAGCAGGGAATTGAACCCCGGTTTCCAAGGTTGTAGTCCAGTGCTCAAACCACTATGCCACACTGACTCTAGATCAGGGGTCAGCAACTTTTGTTGCTGGGGGACTGGGAGGGGGGGAAATGGCACAGGGGCTGGATGGGGGGGCGGGGGCTTGTGTGCGCACTTCCCCCCGCACGCCCATTCGCATGACACCTGCCGTCGTGTGCATGCGCGCATGTGTGGGGGCGCCATTTTGGAAGGCCCCACAGCGGCTGCACTGTGCGAATTCGCATGGCGCAGCCGCTGTGGGGGCTTCCCTGGGCCTTGGGAAGCCTTACCAGGGCCCAGGGAAGGCCCCAGCTGACCCCTGCTCTAGATCAGGGGTAGGCAACCTTTTTGAGCTGGGGGCCGAGCTGCTGTCCCT